GTGGATTTAATCTGCGACGCAAAAAAGCCGGCCAAACCGAATCACGTTGGGATCGTTGTCACACAGATAGTCGCCACCTCCACGCTTCGTTGTTTGCTGTGTTAACAGACTCGCGAATGTCGATAATGTGAAAAAAAAACAAAGGAACAAAGTAGTATGTAATACCTTCCCCTTGCAAGAAACATGTGCGCATCCGAAAGCGGGTCACTGCCTACGGCTGGATTTTACTATTTTTGACTCCTAGGTTACCACCTCTGAGATCGCCCGATCAGTTGATCCGGGACGCTTCGTGTTTGCTCTAAAATATTACTAGGATAGAAAACGACACGATGTTTGAAATCATCCAATGCATAGAATAGAGAGAACTTGTCTTTCACGACTGTCAACGTATTTTCACGTGATATTTCCGATTTCTCTCAAGAACAAACTCAACTTTACCGTTCTAGTTCCATAATTGGTACAACGACGGTGAAACTTTGGAGAAAAGGAGAATATTGTACGCGATGGTTGAACATTTTGGTATTCTACGTGCTTGCTATTTCCATTTGTACACGGAATTCTTAACAACGTGATTGCGAATAGCGTAAAGCATAAACAGTCGTTAGAACCTTTAACCTCGAGAGTCAACCAGCGGAAATACCGGTGAATCCTCGCTTCCTGCCGTGTCTTTCTACTCGAGAGAACGCGTGCTCGTTGTCGTTCCGTTATGACGAATTTTGGCAAGTTCTGTCGCAGTTAATGGAAACCTCTATACGTTTCGGAGCAACTTACGACGATGGTATCGCGAAGAAAAGTTTTCAGTCTAGTTGATCGGTAGGATCGTGTGTCCCGGAGCATAGAACTGCAGGTTAATCGGAATTCCCTGGATTTCAGTCGGGACGCTAGTTTTCAGGCGCGCCATATGTATAATGCATTGCGCGCGTCCCGAGCGATCCGCGCATCGAATGGCGATCTTCCATTTACGCCTGTGTTCTCACGAATCGAGCCATCGAACAGCCTCGTAGAACCACGCATTCGCATAGGCTTGTTCGTCGATCGCGTCGCGACGCGGCCGAGCGATTCGATTCTTAAGCGAAAGGAACGAAAGACCGTTTGCTGGTGTTGTCGGGGTTCGACGAATTGGTAGAATCGGTCGCGTTCTAGCATGGGCGAGGCCTAGAACGCAGCTACCTTACACGCACACGCTCACCTGCGTCGAATTGCGTCCGCATTCGAGTACTTTTTTGCGATCACACGGATCGGTGGTTTTATTAAGCTCGTACCGTTCGCGTACGCCGATACACCGTGGAACTTGTATTATATCGGGTGTTTGGAAAGATACTGTTGATTGTTCTTGAACCAGATTCGAAGATAGAAAATCCTTACCATTCGTGTATATCTACTTGCGTGGTAAACAGTTTCTGATAACCGCGACTGCGGGAGGAAGGCGATGTTTCCTTCGATCGGAGCAATATATGTATGTCTATAACACTTATCATTTTACTTTTAGATTTCTAACCATGTTTGCGGTTGAAACACGCTCTATCCTTTCAGAGATTAACTCGATCGTAAAAGTACTTCCTATTTTTAGAACCTTCGTTCTATTTGCCCAGCGCTATCAACGAGCAAACGTTGATCCACGAAGCCCTGGAGGGATCGAACGATCGTGAAACGGTCTTGTCTGTGCCACTACAGCGTCGAGCTATATATACTTAGGTATGGCCTTTGGTTGTTATTCTTTTGGCTGCATGACAACCATAGCTCTCGATCCATTAGCTGAATTTTACGATCAATATTTAAGACGACGATCAAAGTAATATAAAGATCAACAAAAGGAAGATGAAATTGAATAGGTAAAATACTTGGGAGTAGATAGATCGTTGGCTGAACAATATTGGACACGCGTTCGAGCCATAATCGTTCGCCGCGGTCGTTTTCTTCTAATCCCAGCGCGGACCCTTCTAAACGGTACTTGACATGATTCGCTGAATTAAATAATATTAGCCTCATCGACGCGTGCTCCGGTGAAAATCTTTTTCAAGTGGGATCGGTTGCTGCTCGTCAAATTGATCGTTTCTCCAATAACGATCAGGGTCGCCGTTATTTCAATCTAGTCCATTTGACGCGACTGACGTAAACATGTTTGGAAAAGCTACTTTTACGTCATCCTTGCGCAAGCTGTCAAACCGATATAATATCGGTTCCGACGCTGATGCGTTTGAAAATTTTCAATCGGTATTCGATAATTTGATAAAACTGTAAATGAATAAATCGGTGCGCTGGCTCGTCCTTCTGTTCGTCGCCACGCGAAACAGTCTATTCTCTTCCGCTTCTCGACAGAATGGTCTAGCTTGTGATCAATGTAACGACGCTCATTGTTCCGTAACGAGGCTGGGAGGGACAGGATGCTCGTTGTGTACGTGTTTCGAACAAACACACGGAACGGATTCTCGCAGTGGTAATCCTTCCGAAGCAGCAAAGGCATCTGCAGTTTGCGAGCGCAACACACGGTTACGGATAAATCGAGGCGCTTAGAGAAATTGCGACGATGAAAGTCGTATTGTGTTGCCCGAGTACCGATTCATAGTTGAGTGCAATGACATTAAAGACGTTGTTTAATGGCGGATCACGATCGCGGCAGATCGAAGGCTTGACGATCGAGCGCTGTACGTGTCTCTGATTCGATCGATATCCTTTAGGAAATTTGGAATAATGGGAAAAGGTTGCGCATCGCTTCGTTTAGAGGCAGAAACGACGATAAAACAGAATCCGATTAACCTCGATGGCAGGGGGGTTTAATGAACGCGGATATTCAAGAGCAAAGAAGGGAAGTTTTCGAGGCAATCGGAGGCAATATCCGATCGGCAGGGGCTCGAGGGATTCGCGATGTGGAACAGATCTCGATCGTGGATCCTCTTTTATTTTTTTTTTCTTAAATACCGGTTTCGGGACAGTCGTTTCAATCATTTCTGCGAGCGACTTGTAATCTCGTTGCTGTTCGGCTACCGAGGGTGATACGTTTAAAAAAAATAACGATCCCCGGATCGTTAACCTAATATTAACATCCATAAAGCGCGATCGCGTGCGTCCGAGGCACAAACATTCGGACCGTTCGGTTATCAAAAGTTTAATTACGATATAAAACAGCGAACGCGTCGATTTTGCGTTCGGCCGGTTGCGGATCGCGAGCGCAGGCGCAAACGCGTTGTACTCGACATCGCGGCAATTTATAATCGTTGCTGTTCGCTTCGATGTATGTTGGTACATATCGTGCGCAGCGGAGAAGAGAGAAAGGCCGCGAAACACGAAGGTTACGGAGCGAAAAAAAAGGAGGAACGGCGCAACGACGCACCAAGAAGGACGCCAAAGTCCTTTGCGACGAAGCGGGACAGAAAGGAGCAAAGAGGCAGATGGACCGGTATAATTATGCAATTTAGATTCAGCTGTACGATTCCGGTTTGGCTTCATTAAAAGCGAGAGTGGGCGTACGCGGTCTCCTCTTCGATAGCAAGGGGGAGGGACGTATCTGCAAAAAACTTGGACGCGAAGATAACGCGACGTCGCGAGGCGTCGGCGCTTTTCGATCGAGCGTTACTTTGGGGGAGACGAACGAGCAAATCGAATGAGATTCGGGGGTTCCTTGAAAGAACCTTTCCAGCAATCCTTCCACGGCGTAACAGTACGATCGGCTCGTGTAGATCCCTTTGAAATCGTCGATTATTCGGTCGGCAAAGAATCCATTGGTTGTATGTGTTCGAGAGTCGTTCCGAGAACGGCGATTAGAAAGATCGGCGTCCGATGTCGGCGTAAATTGCACTCCGTATCGTCGTAAAACGAGATTAAATTGCATTGTCCGGGCCGTTACTGTGCCAGCGATAATTGCTACGCCGGCGTAAGGTTACCTGCGGGGTCGTGGCTGAGCATACCAGTAACCACGAAGTCGTGCAACACATTACAATTTCGTTTGCCGGGCCGCCGACGCCGCCGCCGCCGCCGCCGCCGCCACCGCCGCCACCGCCGATTGAACGATCATCGAAACATCGTCGGCGGCTGATCCGATTCAATTAAGCCTTTCGGCGTTAAGATCGCGACCGACTAGATGGGAAAATTGTAACTCGCGCTAAACACGAAACAGGAAGATGTAGATATAATATAGAGGTTTCTCGATAACTCGGATAGAATTTTAGTATTTGTTAGTCGCTTGCTCGAATCATTTGTATGTACTCGGTAATGCTGTATCGAGATCAAAAAATTCAACGATAAGATTATTTCGAAAAATGCAGCTGTCGATTGGCCCCTAGTATCTCGCGACTCGACCCCATTAGACTTTTCTTTCAAAACAATTCAAAGTTCCGTCGCTGTTGCTGGAAAACCCTGTATAAACATTTGTATCGTTTCAGCCGCGATAATGTTTGACCGAATCGAACCGTTCCCCTGGCCGAACGGATAATACATATAATATCGTACCTTTGCGCGTGGCAACCGAAAGGTCGTTTCACCGGTGCAACTTCTGGCTCGCGAATTTTATCTGATCCCCGAGCAGGGTATGGCCTGTTATGTCGTCGGATCGTAAATATCTGGCCGTGGCCGATCTTCCTCCGCGGAGGCATTCCGGCCGCGAACGGTCGTTTAATCGCGCCTTCCTTGCCTCGGCGCAACCTGAAAATTTCGAAAGTAGAAGAATCCGACTGGTTGTACCTTTACACGCGTAATAACAAAGCTATTTGAGGTTCTAAGTTGGTCTCGAGGTCTCTCGTTTTACGACCGCCTCCCCGTTCCCTCTCGTAATTAGAATGTTCCGTGGGGTTCGGTCTCGAGGATGGAGAAGCGGAACAGGTATCGAACGAGTGCAAAATATAGGTGCCTTCGGGAAATTATGACCGATACGCGATCGCGAAATAACGTTCTCGATCTGTCCACTCGTAACAGAAGTTACTTTACAACCACGAGCGACGATTCTTTACCGATTCTAACCGACCATCGTATTATGTTCATCCGCGATTTCCTCCGTTTGATTGCAGCTGTTTGGCGCGTCTCCCGGCGCTGTTTCGACGGTGGTTGCTCCCGTGCTTCTAAAATATCGAGTCTGCAGGCCCAGACTGTTGCTCGCCGGTTCCAGGGCCGAGGTCGATCCAGCCGCTGACGTGGGACTCTTGCACGGCGAAGTTTTGCTCATCGAGGACTCCGCCAGACAGTACGATCCGATCGGAGGTGAGTTGTTTCGCCGATACAGCACGCGTTATACATCTTGGTCGTATCAAAGAGTATAGAAGTTGAAGATCGTTCACGAAGCGATTTGTTCGTTTGTTTACAGACATGGATCGCAGGTACAGAGCCACGGAGAAGCTCTTGCACGCGGAAGAAGAGTATTACGAGGCTCTGTGTAGTGCCAAAGAATTGTACGCGCGACCATTAACACGAAACTACCCCAAATTTCACGATGTCATTTTCCAACCGATCGCGGAACTATCGGTGGTTACTTTCGAACACTGCCAGAGGGTGAGTTATTCAGTTATTTCCAAGGACGGATGTTGCCGCTTCGCGTCGATTAGTATAGTTTTTTGCCGTGAACGGCAGGTCTCTTCTTATCGACCGACTGCATATAAGCTATTGGCTGACGGAGCAAGAAACACGGTTGAGAGATGGCGGCACTGGAACCGTGCCACGTTGTTTTAAGATTGCGCGGCACCTGTTACTTCGTAGAAGCACGTTGCCTTTCTCCTCCGCAGCTCTGGTGTGTCGCAATTACGCTAATTCGAGTCTGCGTAACCTTTTAGAAAGGGAATCGCGGATGATCGGACGCTCCGAGCTCCTCTTTAAATCGTTCTCCGTCTCGGAAGACGATCAGACTTGTGATATTTCTTCCGGGGGGGGGTAGCTTATCGGGATCGATCGTTGGTCTGTTTAAAAATCGAAGGAAAAACATGGTAGATCTATCTAATTCTCGCGGCTACGAGGAGAGATAATCTATGGTCGGTTTGGGAAACTGTTTTCACCGAAAACATGGTAGAAAATATCGTCGAGAAGGTTTCCGTGTACTGATAAGGCGATCTCGCCCGAGGACAGGCACGTAGCAGCTACGGTGGACGTGTTTTCTTAGGGCTGACAATAAAGTGGATGCTTGTCCTTCGGATGTAAACACAAAGCCACGCCGGCGGAGCCGGTTAACGAGTCGGGATGAGCGATGACGGTGGTTAGCACCCTCATAAATATTGACTTTTACAAGACGAGAGCGAGCTGGTCTCGGTGGGCCGCGCGGATGCGAACAGCCTCGTAAAGTGAAAAAGGCGCTCGCGCTCGCGTTAATGCTGACTGCCGAAGATCGTTGCGCGGGATTCGAGCGAAACCAACTCGCGAAGAAACGCCCTTGCCTTCTTTATTCTCGTCAATAACAAAGTCCCGCGCAAAAAGCATGCAAATATTCTCGATGGATCTCGCGTCGAACGATTATTGGCGATCCGACGTGTATTAATTATGGCAACGTTCTCGATATATGTATATTTCGCGAAAGGTATTGTCAAGAACGCCCTTGGTCGTTCGATATCGTTCGATCTGCCTCCGACTTTCCTTCGCGAACTGCAACGCGAGGTCTTTATTAACTCTTTCGATATTAATCCCGGCACGACTCGAAGAGAAACCGTTGCTTTTGATGTTGTATAACGAAACGCCTTCCCTGAGTGTTCCGAAGCCCGAGGACGATATCCGGGCTTCTGGACGCGGCGTAGAATCCCGCGACGGACCGAAGGTTAATTAGCGAAAACGCTTCGACCCGGGTGCCTCTGTTCCCTTTTTATTCCAGTTCGTTGTTGCCTGTTTGCTCGCGCGGTCTCCTCTGCCACTGAGCAATTTCACTTCGGAAGCACCTCGAGGCCAGCACAAGGGCAATTAGAAGCAATCGCGCACCTGGAAACCAAGGGAGACGCGTCTCTCTCTCTCTTTCTTTCTCTCTGGTTGCTTGGCACTCCGCTCTTCCTCGGTTTTTTCTCTTCCGAAGGGACACGGACCGACTTCTGAAGAGGAACAGCCGCGAATACACGAACTTCTTTTCTTACTTTATTTGCTGCTCTAGCAGATTCTAGCGGATTCTTCGCGTCTCGCGTTCTGCGTAAAGCTCCTCGAGTACCCGGAAACGAAGGGACGAGTTCTGCCGCGTTCGAGGCGGAACTCGAATGTTTTCATTAAATCGAACGTGCATTATTTCTAGTAGCTCGAGTGATCCGACCGGTTGCAGCTACTCCGAATAATTAAAGTAGCACGGAAAAATTCAAGTTCGTCGAGTATATAAGAGGATAAAAATAAATGAGAATATTGACAATCCCTTCTGTGCTTCTCCTCGAAGGATTTCACGAATCAAGATCTCGTTGCGTTACCGTGTAATAACAGCGAAAGATACGTATGCTCACGGTGTAACGTAATTGCGTTAGGTTGTAACAACGAGCCATACGGATCCCTCTTTCTTTTTCTTCTATCGTTTCATCGTCGCCGGAGCCTCCTTCGGCGGTTGAGCGTAGAATTTCGAAGAGAAGGATGAAAGTCCGAGTCTTTTAGTCGAGCCTGCTCGCTCCTTCGGTCTCTTTCTCGCTCTCGGTACTCGGTACGACCGTAAATTACGTTTTTGCGGGACACAGCGTGCCACGGTAACCGCGGTCATGGCGGCGTATGGCTGAGGAGTAGTTGCATCGTGATGCGCACGTGCACCTGCACTGCACGCCGCTCGCTGCACCGACCAGTGGGAATGCGACAACTACGCTTCGTCCGGACCAACGCCCTCTCGTGCCTTCGATTTTTACCCTTCCGCGCTCGTGCTATTGTAATTTGCTTCGAGGTAACTCTCAGAGTTTCGCGAACTGCTTCGGAACGATCCTTCAACTACCTCGAATATCGATCGAAGCGCGTAAATGATTTCGTCCTTTAACGATTCTACTCGATGGTTACGGATGGTGATCGTATCTTGATTCGATCTGGTCGAGGGTGGGGGTTGAAAGATGCTGCGTGGCAACGCAAAATCGATGGCGGGTGAAAAAATGACCGGCAGAAGTCACGATTCCGCGATATCCCGGCAGAAAATTCAGAAAGATGGCGCATTAAGATACCGACGCGCATTCCGCGAGATGGAAAGAGGTCCCGGGGAATGCTGGGAAATTAATTAAGTGGCGCGCGATGATCCGGCAGCGCGTACATTATCGCACGGAGATCAAAGAGTTCTCGAATACCGACGCGCGTTAGTTCCTCTCGCCGCGTTCGGTCCTCGACGGAACGGAGGAACGGAGGAACGGTGGAACGGCCTCTGATGGCAGACGGGACGCAATTTTATTCGCATTAGGGGGTCGTCCGTCGATTCCCCTTCTTTTTTTTTCTCGGCCGGAGCTTCTTTCTCCTCCGTTTTCGCGGCTCGAAGCGGGGAAGGGAGAAGGACCGAGAGGAAAGTGGAGCAGCCACGGACGAGGAGCGGGCTAACGAGAGAGGAAAAAAAGGTGCGACGAACGTGCCGTAGGAAAGTGGATGATCATGGGCATGGCGTTTCGTCGGGAAAGTGGACTGAAGTACCGGATCGCCGAGAACGGTTTCGATTTCGTCGGCAAAGGTCTCGTTTGTCTCGTTTGCCTCGGACGCAGGGGGCGGAGGCAGCTCCAACCGTTCCAGTTTCATTTTTGTCCACCGCGACGCGGGAAAACGATCGACTCTCGGTCCCATCCGTTTTTATTTAAAAAAGAGAACAACGATCCACGAGAATTTCGCGTACCTACCCTCGAGATGTTTTTAACGATTCGTATATTCCTGTTTCTATTCGCGAGCAATGGGAATTTCTCTCGTGTTCGCTTCATCGAATAAAATATCGACTTTCGCGTAGAGAATCGATTCGACGGTCGGTGGACGAATAAATAGAGAAGCAGGAAGAACATTTCCCGCGTTACGGAAGAAGGAATGCTCGGTTATTTAGCGGCAGGAAAAACACGCCCATTATTAATTTCTCGGTTTCTCGTAGCCGGCTGCAAGATCGTAAAGACTCGCTCGACCCGTCTGGCGTATACATCGCGTCAAATGGCCACGGAAAGTTTAATACCCTCGGTTTTCAGCCTCTCCGTCTTCGTCTCCTCCGACAAAGAAATTCCATCGTTAGATTATGTGTAACGCGCGACCTTTTAGCGCGAGGATAAAGTAAGCCAGCCACCGTCGAAACCGAGAATCGAGAAGAGCCTCGAGAAAATAAAAGCCCTCGACGCGCGGGTAGCTCGATCAGGGATTCAGCCTCTCGCCTTTTAGCATAGACATTTATTTTTTAGGCGCTTCGTCTCGCGGAGAGTCAGCCGCTGGACCGTTGAGTGGTTGAAACAAGGAAGATACAGAGAAATGATAAATACGTGAATTTGGAGGTTCGATTCCGTCAGATGGGATCGCTAATGGAACCACTTTTCCCCTATCGATCTCTAATTTCTTCTCGCCCGGACCCGGTGCGACAGACCACTCCGTCCGAGCGACTTCCATTCGGCGTCGGAGCGTAATCGCGCGGACTCGTAGATGCGAATTAGTCGCTGTCAGCGTTTAATCGCGCATCGTTTCGCGCTTTGAGATTCGATGTTCGTTCGGTCGGGCCCTCTGGACACGCCGGAACGAACGGTGTCCATCCGCCTTAAGGACCACCGGAGGATTAGAATTCCCCCGAGAGGGACTACGACCGGATGTTCGCGGCGCTGTATAATGGCCGTTCGTAGCTCTCGGGTAATTCATAAGACGACCGCTCGTAACTAATCATCCGGCCGTATGCGTGTAGGACGACCGAGGACTTTGAACGTTAATCTCCTGGTCGCGCATACCGACGGCTGAACACCGGATTGATTCGCGGCGGGCCCTATACCGGACATCGGAAGGACCAACGATATTATGTCGCGTTCACGTTCCCCACAACGCACCAGGAACGCCGTTTAACCGATGACAGTCGCACAGATCTTTTTTCTATAGATAGAAAATGTAAATTAAACACGTCGATCGCTGTCCAGGAAAGCATCCAGGTCGAGGACACGCTCTTGTCTCGTCGGTGGCATTATAGCATTGATCCAACCGGCGCGGCGAGGTGGCTATCGGTCGCCCAACGTCCTAGCGCGCTTTTATCTCACGAATAAGGAGAAAGTGCGTCTGGTACAGAGCAAGTTCTTTATGCTCTCGACCGTATGATTTCGTGGTTGCAAATCCGTTAACTTTAATAAAATTGGTACAAATAGGTCGGAACGTAGTCGGTGGTTTAGGTTTCGTATGTTTGCTTAACGATAGAACTATGAATATTCATAAAAATTCGACGTACGATAATTTATAACGTGCTCGCGAAGGATGTTAACGAACTTAACGATAAGAATTTAAACGTTCGAGTTGCATAATCGAGAAATTAGTCTCGCGATCGGGGCGAGCTCGTTAATCGCTCGTTAATCGCTCGTTACCGAACAAGGCGCGACCGTGAGTTACGCGCATAGTTGGCCCGGATCGACGTTGGATCGTGACGGATAGATAAATTTCCATCGATATCGTGGCAAGGTGGCCCCGCGAGTCGCAATAATCTCGGATGGAATTCGAATCGCTCCCTCCTCGAGTCACGGTTTCGCTCCGAAAGTCTTTCTCCTGCGGCTCGATTCGTTCGCCACGGTACTGCGTCGGATTTTTTTACGACAGCGAAACGATGATCGAAGGGGTTTGTCGACGGCGCGGGTAAGAGGCGATCGACTGCTCGTCGAGAGAACAAACCTAACGGCAGGAAAGAGAAAGAGTTTTTCAAGCGCGAATCCACTTTCTCCGGTAACCGAGCGGCCAACGATCCCGTTGCCAATGAAGACAACCATGGTGCTGCTGTTAATTCGACGATAAAAGAACCAAGAGGTTTATACTCGACCGCCCACGCGACATGTTGGCTTGCTCTTCGACTGTCTCTGGGTCATGGATTCGGAACTGTCTCTGTCCACGCAACGCTAGCGAAAGTTACGTCGAGTCGAAATATTCCAGTACTCTTTTAATCGTTCGATACCCGATCTACGGGGCCTGGACTTTGTCCCAGGAAGTCATAAACCACCGTTTCGCGTTCCTTCCAAGTGTAATTTACGACTCGATCGCCTAAACGGGACTCGACAATGATCCCACTGTACGGACAACGTCGACAAATTGACCGTACGACGAGAACGAAATACGGCTCTCGAGCCATAGTCGGAAAAACAACGGATTCCTTCATAAATTTCTAACCTTTGCTCGGCCGTTTTTGATCGTTGGAAAGAACTGGGACAGAGAGAAACGAGTTCCGCGCCTCGCTGATCTTCCAAGTCTCTCAGCACGCGTCGATAAACGAGGAGCAAAAGCTGAACGATAAACGCGTAACCGTGGAAAAAAAAAAAGTTAAGCACGAGAACGAGCGGCCAGCGGTGTAAGCAATTCACTTGGTCGAAATTAGACCGATTATGAAGACCTCTTGCGATCCTCTCGTCGGGACGAAGTAATTAAAGCGGTGTAGATGAACGCGAATTGTTTGCCGTTAATTTTCATAAAGAAACAACTGAAACGCTATGGATCATTTGCGCGGTCACGAGCTGTCGTTTATCGATCGTCAATCTCGTGGCAAAAGGAGAAATAAAATAGTATAAAAGACGCGACGGAAGAGTAAAAATTCCTTTCTAACCTAATTACGAATCCGCGGGGCCCGTTCGTCGTTCGTATAATATTAATAGCCGATGAAAAAAAAAACTTGTTTATCGTTTTAATGCACTCATAACGTTTATGGGAGTTACAGGGGGAATAGGATGCCTGAAAGCGGTAATTTGCATAAACGGGAATAGGAAAGTAGTATTGACAAGAATATCGGTTATGCGCGACTGCAGGTGCATCGCAAGATCTCGTTTATCGATCGTCAATCTCGTACGAGGAAAAAAAAAAATCTTTATAGAGTCCCTCCGACGACTATAAAATAATAATGGGAGGCTGAAAACGCCCACGCATAGAGCCCTTAATAACGCGTGGTTCGAGCTGTTTTTTTGGGAACGCCCTACGCGTACCCGTCGTCGTCGTGATCGTTTCGGATGGATGATGCAGACTGATGGGACACGGTCGTGCTCGCGCGACGTGTAATTAAAACCTCCTTCGAGAAATGTGTCTGTAGTCGAGAGGAAGGAACATCCAGCGAAAAATAATCCACCAGAGATTTTGCGACGATTATCCAATCCTGAGATAATCGGTGATCGATTTCGCGAGATCCTCCGTCGTCGTTTGTTCAACGCAAAGATGCTGTCTCTGTCCAGCGATGCCCTGTGCATTACGATCTTGTCAGATCGAGTTACGAAAATCTAGCATCGGTATCCACGATTGGATTTTCGAGAATAACGAAGCGAGTCACTGTAATGCTATGCATAAATTCATGGGCGCACGCATCGTATGTATACTTAACATAGATGCGTATCTGACAATAAGAAACGCATCGACACGCCGACGCATCGTGACGCCGCACCGATGGCGACGTGACGATGCAACGCATTCATCGGCTGCTTACCGATCGCGCGTCCTTTTTTTCAATTTGCTCCGACGAGACCGCCATTCCGCCGAAGGTTTTAGTATTTTTTTCGTCTGCGAAAATGCGCATATTTCGGTTGTAAGGATATCAAGTAGCAATCTCGTGAAACAAAGTGGCGTTCTGCTCTCGCTACCACGCGGTAAACACTTTTACCGAACGCTTCGATCGCATTCTTGATCGCCAAAGGAGAGGATTTTCGAGAAGAAAGCGTACTCTCTTACATTAAACATTTGTAAAAGGTGAAATAATTTCTCTAGCAACGTTGTAAACGAGCTCCTCGCTCCATTCGGGACTGCTTATCGCGTAGTTTACGAGTCAACGGCCGCTTCTTGAAGGTTTTGGACGAGAAGAAGGTCGACGACCTGTCCCCCGAACTAACATAAGTTCCAAGTCGAATACGTCTCGTTCGTTTTCTTACGAGCACGTGTCGCGAAGCTAATCGAACGATGCATCTTTCCGCTTCCTAAAATCCGTAATGGATGCTGTCGAGCGAGTCGTCATCGATCATCGGGTTTCGTCAACGACGATATCTCGCGCGCATCACGCGGTAATTAAACCGCAACAAATTGATCGTTGCAGAGAAGCTGCGCACGGAGGCAATCTGTTTTATTACGATTATACGGTGGTTGCGATAGATACGTATTAGTGGCTCGGAGGCAATTAACCACGGATCGTCGATGTTCGTACAACGCAGCATCGCGCGAGGAAGAATCGCTCGATAAAGACTTTTGCTCGCGTATTTGTAAAGAAAATGCAAATTTGCATTTCGCGATAACCACCTGCCGTGGCTTTTATTTGCGCAACTTTCTCTCGACTTTACGGCCGCCTCGATGTTGAACGTAAAGTACGCGCTGTTGTTTGCTCGAATCTTAACACGTGTAACGCATAAATGTTACTAATTTACTTATCGACGCGTACTACATAATGCATGGATTTATACTGGGTATTTCGGATTTAAATGGCCGGGCTCGAGATACGAATGCAGGATCACAAAACAAACAAGTAGCATTTCTGTTTATATTCGGTAAACTTGTGGGAATTTTTTACCTCCTTCTAATTCGCGATTCTTTCATCTTCGAAAAGAATCGATCAGTCCCGTGTAGGTATCGTCGAAAGAACGACCGACGGGTATAAGAAAGTAATCGAACGATCGTTTTCGAGCCGACCGTCGTATAAGACGGTCCCTCGACTACGTTCGTGTATTATGCTTCATGTATTATATATGCTGCCCTCTTCCCCTACCCTTCTACTCCCTCATATCTTGGTCATTGTATTTTAAGAGCCAATTCTACCGCGCCCATTTTGCTTTCTTTCAGATCCGCAGGGCACTGAAGAATTGGGACGGCGGTACCTTCCAATCGGGTGAGCACACCAGACTCGTTATCCTCTTGTCAGATTTTAGATTGTAACGTTTAGAGACTCGAGTTCGTTCCTATCTGGGATAAAAAATTGCGATAGGTAGACAAATTTGCTCGTAAAATCCACAATGTCGACTCGAAACGATTATTCGCGTGTAAAAATTTTTGGATAACGAAACGTTCGATCGTAAGAGTACATGTATTTAGAATGGTGTACACACGTAACACACGCATCCATTACGAATCTTCTATTCTTAGCGAACCGTTTAAGTTCGAATAACGAATGTTCCATTGTACTTGGCGGGAAAATTTTAATCACTGTACTCGAACGCATCGTTATCACGCGAAGGACATCTGGAGTTTTACGTAATCGTGATTTGCGAGAAACAGCCATCCACGCAACCGAGAAAAATTTTACGATTTCCGACGAACGTACTATTAAGATCGTCTCATCGTTCCTTTTGTTACATCAGAGTTTCAACTTTCTATCTCATTAATTGGTATCGAAAAGGTAAAAATATTGCCCGAACTCGATGGACGACCTAATAGAAAGCGAGGCTTCCGTATACACAGGGCGGTCTGTCATAAATTCGTGGTTTATTGTACAAGGAAGTCTGCGACGGACGACGATGGAGACGGGAAGTAAAAAGGGAAAAAGAACCAGGAATGATTCGGTGGTAAATCATATTCACGATGCGTGAGCGGTCCGTGGAAGGCTCTTTCCGTAATAGTTAAGACACCCCACCGAACAAGGAAGCGAGGAAAGGAGAAAGATCCTCGCTCAGAAACAAGTTTCGTAGGGAAGATAGGAAGATGATGTATCGCTGGATCGAATCTCTCGTACGACGATTTCGGACGTCCACGGACATTCCATTATTGCGAACAAATTTTGTGCCGGGTTTTCATCGATCGTAACCATCGGTATCGACGAATCAAGGTCCATTTATACCCACGTCGCTTATCATTATTTTCCATTGCTTGCCATACTCGACGTATATGTAAATGAACGACGCGAGGTAAAAAATTTCTTTTAATTAACTCGGTGCACGCTGTCGCCAGGTGACTTATTCCCCGGCTCGTTTTGGAACTCTTACTGGGAATACTTGGAGAGTTACAGCGAGGCCAGGAGGACTCTGGACGAGTTGAGAGCATCGGAGGACCCCCTACTGCACTTCCTTAGTCTTAGGCAAGCCGCGGCCAGGCATTCCCCGTCCACGTTGCTTCTTCTACCGGTGAGTTATTAATAGCTACATGAAACAGAGACACGATATTACGTTGTAATCGATAGGATTACTTCGGCGATTAAGCTCGGGATGGAAAAGGCCCGACGTACAGCGTCGATCTACAGATCCACGAGGGCTGGTCGATAAGTCCGTGCAAACTGTATGAGATTACGTCACCGGTACGCATCGTGGTTATTATTAGTCGCTGGCAGCTCTTGGAGAATCGCGCACCAACTTCTAGTCGGCTAGATCTATTGCCTCGAGTTTGGCGTCCATCCGAATCGATCGAATATAGCGAATGGTATCGATATCCGACGAATTATGACCATGGTGTTGCTTCTGTACGGTCGAGAAATCGAGCAACGGTAATTGACCTCGGCTTTTCACTCTCTTCGTCGTAGAGTGGATTCGTCCGGTCGAGTGAAAGTCTTTTATCTCGACATGATGCAACGCCGGTGCACGAGAACATCATCTTTCGTTAACCTTTAAGATTCGTAACGCGGCGATCGAGAAACCCCATCGGATTCCTCGATCACCTGCCGATGGTGCGCGTCGAATAGCACCGAATAGTTTCGGTCGGTCGGATTAGAATCGTACCGATCGTACGATACAGTACGTTGCGCCAAGTTCTATCGTTAGTGCGCGTTCATCGTACGGAACGCGTTTAAAAAAGGAACAAAAACGACGTTAGGCGCGTACGTTAGTCGCGTCGATGCCCAGGCTGATTGCAAAATACAAAAAATTGAAAAGTATTCGCGGCACGAGTGTGTGGCCGTAACCGCGTGCGTGAGATGAGCTATGTGACAGCTTATAACGGGTGTAATGATCGGAGCTTCGAACAGCTTCCCAGCACGATGGAATCGACCTCGACTTTAACGCCCGTTGAAATATAGACTCGTGGCTTGTAAGTCACGCAGGTGCCCGTGTACCACTCCGCGCACCTAATGCTCCTTTCACGATGATCGGTGTTGGTAAATATAGTTTTGTCGTGTATGCTCGCTTAATGGATCGCGTCGTTTCTGTCCGATATCCTGCTGGACGATGCTGTTGTTTGGAAAATTTTTCATCGAATTACCTCGTCAGAGGTATTGCACGGTGTCTTCGAAACTAGAACCACGCGTAGATTTCGTGGCTAATAAAACTCCCATCGTTCATAGATATTTTGTGAAATCACGTAAGAGTTCGTTATGCTGGATGATTCGCAGATACCTCGTTCATTCTCGATAATTGTCCGTCGCTCGAGCCGATTTTTCATGCTTTCTCTCGCAAGCGTAATTGAAACTTTTCTTTACCGCAGACTGCCACCGCCGGTGTATTTAATCACGTTATTTGCTATGAAATTTCACCTGCCTATCGAAGCACCTGTAGCCACCGCGACTAGTATCCAGCCTACGCTAAATGTCCAGCAGATTATGCGATGCCTTGTCACACGTGGGTGTCCGTGGCACTCCGGTACCCGTTCATATCGGCTCCCCGTGCCACATGACGTTTGTACCGCTTTACTGGTTGACACGGCTACACGACGTGCAAATACAGATGTACATCGCGCGTATTTAATACATGCATCGGTCCACCTACTAAATACCTGGACAACGTACATACGTGGACGCCTGAAACTCTCTTAACCGTTCCGTAATGCGAACGTAATCTTCACGATAGCTGGAAGCGTAACCCGAATTGCCATTTTGCACAGTCGAAGCTTTGCGCGGTTCAAGTTGGACGTAGCCAGAGGATTAATGCGATTCGAACGGGATAATTTCCGATTATTTTGCGCAAGAAGAATTCTCGAGGACGCGTGTAAATGCTAACGAGACTAATCTAAGATGTTTCTCGAATTTCTTGTAACGTCATTTTCCACTTGGGTGTTTCGTTGCGCAAGATGATCTGGAATATGCAATTAACAATTGGCAACGCGAACGCGATGCTTTTTCGAATCGTAAACAACGTAATTTTTTCAATTCTTGTATCTACCTTTGACCGAGAAACGATTTAATAGTTATAGATTACGATGCGTGTCGAAACGTTGCGTCGAAAAAAAAATAGAAGTCGCGAGTCCAGAAATTAACTTGCAGGTAATTAAAAGCGTAAGAAGCTAACGGTTTGCCTAGCTCGGTGAATATCGCTGATGCGTACGCAACAGACTGCCGTACACGATGCTTCGTCTATGATAAACGATCTTACGTTCACATCGATGGTCATCGCGTAAAATTCTGACGTAAATCGATAGGAAGAACGTTACCTGTTCCCGGTGGTTGAACCGTAGAACCGTTGAAGACGGATGTTAAAACAAAACACGAACACGTGTGCTGCGGAATAGAGGAATTATTTTGAAAGTTAATTAAAAAGAAATTGATTCCAAAGTATGTATCCGACGATATTATAAGAGACATATTATCAGCGTTTTTAACGCTTGCATACAGATCGTCACCTTGGGCACGATATTTTTATTATCGCCACGATTTTTCCAACGGGACCTGTTTCACGTTGTTTAAAAAACTTTTAACTATCATCGTGTATAGAAAAAAGAAAAGATTTTAATTTGTCTACGACGCAGAGGTGGTTTCTCGGACGAAGACAAGGGCGTTAATACGATCGATCGGGTAACGCGGCGACGATAATTGACAACCGCGCGCGCAAGAGTTGCAGAAAGTTGCAATAAGTGGTAATCTCGCAAGCAGGATCAGTCGTAATTTTTATCTGCCGTGCGAACGTAGACGAGAGACGATTTGATGGTCGATAAACGCGATAATATAAGGGACGCGTATGCTCAACCGCACGAAGACGAACAGGCGCGACGTGACAGCGGATAAAACGAGCAAAACGTCCCGACCGTAAAGAATTTCTGTTTGCCATAAATTGTGTCATTCGCGCGAACGCCGGTTAAATAGCGAAAATAAAATAGCGGCGGATACCCGCGGTGTCGCTTTGAAATTAATTAAGCGACGGCGCGGTTTGAGGGGGAATAAAAAAAAAAATCCGCCGCGAAACGTAGCCTACGAAAGAACCGTCCGCCGAGATCCGCGGAATTCGTGCCACACGATCGAAAAGCAATCGATCCTCGCGAGTCCCTTGTTTCATGCAAACGTAATCGTGCCCGTCTCAGGAATAAGTCCGCATTCCTGCGGATCGCGCGCATGTTCGAGCGATTTTGTTCGACGGCGATTAAAAAGGTAACCTGTTTTCTGAAAACGTCCAAGGCTCGGTCTCCGAACGTTTAGATTTTCCCCGAGACGAACGGACGCGGCAAGAAGAAAAGAAAGAACCGGAGTAAGATTATTACCGATCGATTCGAGCTTCGATCCGTAGGATAACAAATTGTTGTCGGACCAGTTTCTCGATTTCGAGGAATCGTCGCCGCGTCGCGGGAAAAAGATGCGCCGCAGAGGGTGGACGAACTGGATGACGAGGGAAAGGAAGACCTACGGTGACTCGCACTTTGAAGGTCTCTCGTATCCAGTCCGTGCATTCCTCTTATTCTTCTGGAATTATTATCAAGGTCACCGCCTAGTATCGTTCTCCAGCTTCAATGGTTGAATCGCCACGGGTTCAAAACGCTAGAAACACTTTGATTCGGGATAGGGGTGGCGATCTTTGAAAAGAAGTCATCGCGAAACCTATTAGTCATTGTTCGTGGTCGCGCAAAAAGCAGCGGTAAAGAACGCCCCGTAATCGATTCTGCATAGAATCGCTTCGCGTAGTTAAGAAATATCGCGATTAATCTACTTCGCACGGCTGATAAAAAGTCTCGCGAGACTCGACACAGACGCAAGAAGGGTTCTTTCGCTCGGTCGCTATGCGATCTTGTTTGCAAGTGTGAAACTTTCGACCAAAGGCGTTCCCATCTTTATTATTTTATTGCATCGAATATAATCGACGGACTTTCTGTTCGTTTTTTGGAGTATTTGTTCGAGTCAGGGATCGGTGGAAGAAATAGGACACGAGAAACCCGCGTAACGAGTCACCGACGGCAGAAAACATCGATCGGGCAACCTACATGCGTACGCGCGGAGAATTTTCACGGGCATTAATTTTACGACGAATAAGTGTGCGCATTAACGGACGGCCGAGTAAGAGTCGGGCGTAAACGATTACGATGGACCTTTGTGCGACCTCGAATTATCGAAATAATTGCCACGCTGGCGGTAGTAAAACGGCGATTATTGTACCGTAGTTGCATTCCAAAGGTCTCGTGCTTATAGCCTGTTGTTAAACCAAGCCCACTCTGTGTTACATTCTATTGACACGGTCGACGACTACTGCACGAAACGTTTCGTACGCTGGCAACACCCATAGGACTAACATACACGTTTTCTATAACTTTTTAACGAAGCCTGAATCAACAAATTAGTATCCTCGATTTTCGTCTTATTTTGCCCACTAGAATGTCCCATTAAAATTTTTCCCAGAGGTGGCCGAACACCCTCCATAGTGTACGTAAATTGCAATAATTTTCGAGAAACGAGACCGATCGGCTGCCATAGCCCTCGTTTGTTGCAACAATTAAAATTTATAGAGATTGGCCTTCGATTTCCACGAAACATCCCCTCTTTAAATTGCACATTTTGCGTGCCGGCGATATTTCGCCAAGTCCGCCAGAGGATAAATCCCCGATAATCGTCAGTGATTACGTACGAATCGCTGACTTATCTACGCATCTTGATTGGTCGGCTTTCCTACGGAGAGACGTGGGCGCATTTATGCACATCTCCGCGGCTCCACGGAAATTTATCGACAATTATTCCAGAAGCGATAACGGACGTCCGTTTGCCGAAGGAAAGTTATTTCATTTAAGCCGGTCAAAGCTGACGATTATCGTCGCGATGTTAATTTATCGCCGGTTATTCGACGCAACGCGTTCGAGCTAGTATTTAGCTGCCGTTTCGCCATGCGAAAGACAGGTAATTATTAATAATTGGACTTCTGTGGCTCGATGATGTTTGAATTATTGCACGGCCACGGTTTTATAAGAAACCATCGGCGCGCAACGTTGGGGCTGGATAGAACAATGA